TTTGCCCTTTGGATCTCCTGCTGTACTGTATGCCTCCTATATTACAAATTGCACAAGTATACGGTAATTTTCACATAAAATAGCACTTTTGAGAAAAATGATGTTACAGGTCTGTAAATTAATAAATAAGAGGTATATGTTGGTGTTGGAGTTATAATATGTTACATTGGGGTATACTCTACATAATCAAACACATTTAGAACTATGGGAACCCATATTAAATTGTATATGGCATTAATAAGAGTCAAATTCTCTCTTTTTTCAGCGTTACGAACGGACATTTTAAAATAAGCTATTTTAGAATAAGTTTTGAGAAAAAACTGAATAAACTTATGTATAAAAGTTATATGTTTATTTTAGTATTTTCAGTTTCCTTTATTTTGCCGTTTATTTCAACAAATAACATTGAACAACAGAAAAGTTATAGCATTTTTAGATAAGCCTACCTCCGTTACGACTTTCTGAATTTTCAGCACTAACATTTTTGATTCATCAACTAACAGGTAAAATATATATTTTTATTTCTTTATTTTTGTGTTTTAATAAAGCCTTTTGATAGTTATAAGCAAATAAAATATGAAAACATGTAAATCTTTCAAATAAACAGAAATATTATTATTTAAAGTCTAAATATATCTAAGAGACAAAAAAGTGTAGCATCCGTAATCTGTAGAAAAAACTAAATTACATGTTAACTGAGAAATATTTTTAATTTTTATTGTTCTAGATTTAACAAATACCCCGCTCTCAAGAAAATAGCATATTTAAATATTCTGTGTTTTTTCCTTTTCAGAGTCCTGAGCTGATCTAGGTTGTGTAGCATCCGTAATAGACAATGTAGCATCCGTAATGTCCTTTATTCCCAGTTAAAGAGAAATAAACACAACCCTTCAGTATTATGAAACATGTCATATTGCAACATTGATTGATACAGACTAGAATTACTTGATATCCTTAGGAACAGAAGGGGTATTTAATTATGAGAGTTGACAAAGAACCAAAACCATATTTTTCTTTTTTAAACTTCTCATATCAAACTATAGAAAGGATGAACATTTTTATTTCAGGAATCATTCATTCAATTAAAATTACACTGGCACAATAAAAAAATTGGACACTATTTCTTTAATAACATCAAACACACTATATTACGGATGCTACATATTTTGTTTATATTACATAATGTAAAAAAACAAAGTCTGACTTCAGAAGTGAACTTATGAAACCAATAGATCAAGACTAAGAGCAACATAGGACAAAATGGGACTTTCAGCAGAGAAAAACAGAGAAAATGTGAGAAAATATCGAGAGAAATTAAAACAAGACAAATCTAAATATGAAAAGGTAAAAGAAGTTGATCGTAAAAGAAATCAAAAAGCAAGAAAAGAGCTGAAAAAAAGATGTATGAAAAATCAGCCTTTACACGAAGCAATGAAGGAGAAACAAAGAGAACGAATGCGTGCTTATAGAAAAAAGAAGAAAAATGTGGAAAGAGATTCAGAAAAAGACAAAAGGATTTCTGCAGGTAAAAAGATAATGGCAGAGAAGAAAAGAAAAGAACAAAAAGCTAAAAACAGAAAGCAGAGACTGCAAGACAGACTGAAAAAAAGGCGGAAGTATCTAGGGTACAACGTTGGAGGATGCGTATAAAATTAGAGCAAAAAAACCAAGAAAACCCATTTGGAACTGAAAGAAATGAGAGAAGGTTCAAGAAAAAAGCAAGAGAAAGTCTACCAAAAACTCCAATAAAAAGGTTCTATTTTATTGGTTATGCACCGCAACCCACCCCCCTGGCTACGCCTATGCCTGTCGAGAGACAAAAAGAGAAGCGAAAAGACTGTTAAAACAAGTACTTCCAATAAATACTTTTACAGTTATATGTGTTTATCAACGACCCTACTTGTCAAATTAATAGAAACGAAAACTAAATTCTTTCATTACGCGAAAACCGTTGAAATATCTACCTGATTCGCTGGAATAGTCATTAGTCACATTATTTCAGAGCAAACAATTAGCATCTACTATAATATTTATTTTTATATCCGATATACAACTGATATTGATATCTTTCCCCGGGCAATGTGTTATCTCATGATCCGTTGACATCATCAACAATTTGATTTACCACAAGAGAGTAACCAACATTCCTTAATTAAAAAGTTGACATTTCTTGAATTTTACAGCAAAAACACTATGACACAATAACATCGAGGCAAAATCAAAACATGGTGTGGAAATAAAAGGCATACAAAATGGCCATTAAAATGAAATTCTTGTTCATAAAAGTATCAACTTTATTACATTGGACGCAAATACAAAGTATAGAATAAATAAAAATAACGTCTTCCCAGAGATTACAATACGGATCAGTAAGTCAACAAATCTAACTGTTAAATAAACAAACTTAGCCCATGTCTGCAATTGTTCGTCTGCTGGTCAGAACTCGGTATCCTCTTCGGATAATCAATTTCTGTGACTACTGATGTCTTAAATAATTCATAAAGACGACGTTGTCTTTAAATAAGGATCTTTAATCTACAAACTGTAAATAAATAGCGTGAACCAGGATCGTTTCCCTTAAATTTTTTACTAAGAGACTTATACGTGCATAAGTTATCTATCAAATTATTTTTCTTTAAAAATTAAATGTCGTCTAAGTTTGTTTTAATGATTACTCTTCATCTAGATTCATTAATCATCACGATATTTATATATACATATTATGTAATAGACCTATCATATCACGTCCGTAGTTACAAAGTCAACTACATATTAATGCAATAGAATAAGACTCAATAATTAAAAAAATAAACCTCAGTATTCGGGCCTAAAAACACAGATAAGTGTATCAATACCAACGGGTAAGCTCAAATAACCTTCCAAATAAGTGTATCAATAATCAAAGATTGCGAGTACTAAGGACCGGGTAAGATGGTGGTAACATTGGTATTGCTAGTTATTAAACACGATTTTGTCTTGTGATAGCACAAGACAATATTGTTGATAAACTATAGAATTGCAACAGTTAAAGTTGCTAACTTAGAGTAAGATGTTACTGTTCAACTGCAGCCACAAAAGACTGTAAAGTTAAATAAGATGATTGTTCAACTGCAACACTAAACATTGCAAACTTATGTTATACCATCAGACATCATAATATTAAGTACTAGTGGAATAAGAGGTAGGCATAAATACTTAATGTTTTTATAATCCTTAATTGTAGCATTTGAATATCATATTTATAAGATATTATATTTACTGTTATCTATTAGTATTAAATATTATAAAACATTTTACATATAACTAGATATTTCCAATTGATAATTTTATTTTTTCTCACGAGCTGACTTTGTTAATTTCACCTCTAGAGAAGTATAATTATATGAAATACCTATTCACTGAAGTGTATCATATGTCTATATATTGCAGATATCCTAATATCTGATTATGAAGATACATGACAAGAAGAACAAGTAGATGCAGTTACTAGTTTATGGAAACTTACAATTCCTAACCAATGTGAGTTCATATGTTTATATTCTTTACTATTTGTAGCATCCGTAATTTTTTCTATTCTATTTTGAATGTATATAAGATTAAACACTTGCAATCTACACAGTTGTTTTATATTTTCTATCACTAAACAATGTTCAAGTAACAGGATACTACTATATTCTCTTCTTTTAGACAGTCAATATATAAATGTTCCACAAAAGTATTCTTGCTTGAGCATCTTTTTTGAATTTTTTGTATAATTATGCATTTCATATTTGTACCTGACAAAAAAATATTTTAAGTCTCTTGTAACTTATTATTTAACAATTTCAGATTAAATATGCCAGCCATAAAACAGCATTGAGAGCTCCACACTTCAAAATGAAAAGGGTATCATTGTACATTTTTATGTAGCATCCGTAATATCACCTACCTGTGTAACAAACTGTAAGCATCATCATACTTGCTTGTTTAAGACAAGGAAATGTTACTTCATTGATTAAAGACTGTTTTCTGTACAAGAAATTAATATCTTTGTCACTCTAACTTAAGTAAGATGAACTAGAGAATAAATGAACCATCACTAAGTGGAATAAAAATTTATAAGATAATCAAAAAAAGTGATTTTTTGTGAAAAGATATTTAAATTCCAATATTTTCAGTTTTTATATTATTAATTCTACCATTTTCTTCCATTCCAGAAACTTAACAGTGACAATGTGCAATTCTTGTGGAAATGGGATACAATAAATTTGAGACATATAGCAGCTGTTATTCTGATGGTGTCAAACTTTGGATGACCGAATGAGACACTAAGAGATGCGAATACTTCAGGATTTTTGTGTCAAATGATCAGAAATAGATTTTTCTTCAATAAAAAATACAAAAAACAATACTTATGACAGGTTTATTTTTTGATTGTCATGTCCTCCAAAAGTGCTATTTTATGTGAAAATTACCGATAACAAATAATACTTGGAATAAGGCTTAAATGCAATTCTTAAAACCCCGTAGTTTTGCAATTTAACAAGAGAATGTGTTACGATACATGTATATACAATCTACTGAGTAAAGTGAAAGATACTACCTGGAGCCTTATTTATCAACTGTTTAATATGTTCTGTTTAATAAATACGCTCCATTCATTTTTCAAAACTGGCCCCAAGCTGGAGCCAGCCCACAAATCAGCCCACTTCACCCAACACAAACTATAAGGAGACAATCTAGCAACTGGGAACCACGGGACACCGTGTCACGATCATTCTCATGTGCATTATGCATCTTATTATCTATTTACCAACTTTTATCAAGTATTTCATCTGAGTAGTAAGTATCTGCTATTCGCAAACTTTAACATCTTTGACTTTCCCCCTTGTTGAACATTATTGTATATTTAAATTTCAAAGCCAAAAATGGAACCCGAAGAAATTACTTTTGTAGAAAATGTATACACATCGATATATGACCTGTATCCAAAGTTTTGAGTGAAAAAGGTCATCCCTTACCTTTGGCTTTGCGCAGAGGCCAAAATCAATCAGCTTCAGGTTTTGGTCTTCATCCAGTAGTAAGTTTTCCTGAAAATACATTTCGATATTAGCTTTGGTGAATTATCATGCCTCTAAAATGGATGAATACATATTTTTCTTTATTTTTACAAACATTAATCGATGAATTGTACACTGGTAGTGTTGGACCTTTTCAATTGATCTCATACTTCTTTACCAGCACAGCAGCTACTATGAAATTCAAGCAAATTGGTATAAAGGGGTGTATACACTGGCAGGCGAAATGGTTGAAACGGGGGGCGAAAAGGCCGAAATGCTTGAAATGATTGAAATGAAAGAGAATGTGAAACAGCTTAGGCGAATTGATTGAAATGCTTGAAACAGCGAAACAGACGAAAGCAGCGAAACAGTAATTTTAATCTTCGAGACGTATTGATTGAAATGATTGAAACGGTTGAAAAGCCCCGGCGAAATGCTTGAAACGAAAAACGTGCATGTTCGTTTTTCTTTTCAATCGTTTCGCCCCTTTCTTCATGCGTTGGTCGTATGATTGAAATGCTTGAAACGGCGAAACAGGCGCAAACAACGAAACTTTCAATTAATTTCAAAGGCGAAACGATTGAAACGAATGAAATGCTCAAAATGACGTAAGCATTGAAACGTAGGAAATGATGCAAGCATTGAAACCATTGAATTGATTGAAACGATTGAAACAATTAAAACGATTGGAACAATATTTATAGTGTATACAGTGCTTAACAAATTCTACCAATGAAAAAAAAATATATACATTGTACTTGTACAAGTTTCTTGCAAACATTGTATGTTCCCTCCGCACATTTTGCCCATTTCATTAGTGTGAGTAATAAAATTAGTGATATAAATATGCATAAGGTATTTTCTGATGTCATGAATCAAGTCCTTGTACCCCCCCCTCACCCATATATTCTAACACACTAAATCTAAATGGTTTGAACCCCCCCTCACCCATCTATTCTTACACACTAAATCTAAATGGTTTGAACACTAAAACAGCAGTCATCTTCAACTTTCCAATCTATCTATATCACCTAAAATAGTTGAAAAAAAAGTAAAACACAATATGCAAAAATAATGAAATGTTATGAAAATAGTTATTTTAGTTATGAATGGTTGATTTGAGGTAACTGATGAAAATTAAATCACTGTTCGGTATCAGAAGGTAACATCCATTAATTTGGAGATATCTAAAATGATTGAAATCGACAATCACTGTCCGCCATTTTAAAAGACAAACAAGTGTTTCCTTTTCTTGATACTGACCACTTATTACATGACTTACTGGTTTCAAATCTCGATGTGCGTAGCCCGTCTTGTGCATGTAGGCCACGGAAGAGACAATCTGACGGAAGAAACTCCTTGCTTCATCCTCGGATAACTTGTCTTTGGCAACGATGTAATCAAACAATTCTCCACCAGGACAATACTAGAAAAAGAAAATACAAGGCATTCATGAAACAAAGCAAACTCTTCATTGTTAAGCTTTAATTGACCACAAATCATTATACAAATAGTGACTGCCATTGAGGGAAATAATGCAAAATATTTTTCCCTAGAGCATATCTTGTCCACTTACCTGTTTCCGAGGCTGCAGGCCGAGGGAACATGTCAGTGGACAGTATATTCCGAGGGGAAGATTTTTACACTATTTCCCAAACATACATATGGGGTATTTAATAAAAATTGATATTATCATCATATCAGCTGATATGAGCTTTTTCGTTTTAATTCAATGATCATTCTAAGCTTTCTTTCAAGGAGGATGGCTCCCATATATTGGCATAAAGTGATTACAAAATTTGAATTCAAACAGCCACCATTTTGTTCACTTCAACATTTGAATCGTGAATTTAGGTCTTATTTCAAGATGAAAAATTCCAAAACTCACAAGAAATGATCGAGATTTTGGTTCTGATCTTTCGGACTTTTGAATTTTTAGGCAGTTATAGTCATTGTTGGAAAATATCGAGTTTTGATCTTTGGAGCCAGTCCTCCTTGGCTTTCTTTATTGATCAGATAGATGATGGATACTAGACACATTGCCAAGAACGCTTAGTCAATGAAGGATTCTATATTTATGAGAGGTAATGTTTGATTGACATCACAGATGAAGTACACCAATTTCCAGGAATTTATCTGAACTATGACATCATGATTTGGAGTCTAGAATTTAAAAAAAACTATGAAAAAGACTCCAGTCTTCATAGAAGTCCTCTCTTTTTCTGTGTGTTAAAAATACTTCAGATACAATAATTAATGACGGGTAGAACTTATCACAAGTGGGATAACTCTGCAAAAAGTTTTGATAGATCTACTCAACAAAGGTTTTACATTATAAGCTTGTCAAGAAGTTCAGTAAAAATATTACACTGTGCAAGTGGAACAATTCTCAATGGAGAGAAAAATTACACTGGATTCACTGAGGTTATCACTAAATAGGAGCAGAACTCCTATAAATGGCAGTTAGGTGGTTTGTTCTTCGCACCTGTCCCATTTGTTTATGTGTAAATATTGCTATCTTAAACCACAATGAATATACACACAAATCAAAACAATATAACATTTTTTCTTCATAATTATCTACTAACATGTTTTAAGTTTGCGATATTATGAGTTTTGGATATTTTCATTGGAATTTAATTTAGGAGATTTTTGAAGCATGCTAAAGGATACAATTTCATCTACTGAATTTTTCGCCACCTATTGACAATCCTTAAGGCCTGGATGGAGACAAATCGTTACTCCGATCTAAATAAATCACAGTTGAACTGATTTCTCCATCCATCGAATATCTTTAAAAATTATACAGATATTTCGCAAGCATGCTGACTTATTATTACCACCTTGGCGGGCCAGTTCTAGGGGTTTTAGTGATAGTTTAGAAGGCATTCAATTTACTATATTGACCTGTGCAATGTGTGACATCATAGTGGCGGTTAATATTGCCGGTCAAGAATGCAATTAATGACCAGCAATTTTCCCAGAGAAATTTGATATCGTTTAGTGCATAAGATTTTCTTGATGTTTCAGTCCTGGTCATTAATGGTGGTTGGCCCTCGGTCCAAAATATCACTATATTGCCTTTCCAAATGATGTTATTGCAGTTTTTCCTGGAAGGCCTCAGTATATTGACAAGGAATATGTGATGTGTAATTGGTTATAGAGAGAAAATTTAAAATTCATTAGTATACTAGCTTTTGTAAAATAGAACTTCAGCAGTTTTCAATTTTTGATGAAAGAACTGCCAATTTTTGGGTTTGAATTTGGAGTAATTATGGCATAGCTATTTCTTTTATTCATTTTATTTATTGCCGCATAACAATTTAAAAAACCTGACGTCTCTTACATTTAATTCATTGTGGACAAACCAATCACATCGCAATTGTATTATATTTTTCATAACAATTGTATTAATTTTCAAACACAATGAAATGTTTCTCTCATTATCCTATTACTTATACAATCACAAAATATGACAATAAAGGAATTGATGTATTTGCAATCCAATCATTCGCTATGCATTGTCACGAAGTACAATGTGTTGTTTTAAATGTAAAGTAGTTTTAATGAAAGAGTATCGGAACATCCATTAGCACGAAGCTTATATTACAATTTTTTATTATGAAACAGTCTTTTGTCATAAGATCAATAACTCCAATGTGGGTGGTGTCTGTGTATATCGTGAAGGGGAGCCACAAGAGCTTCAAATAAAATGATTCTACCCTGGAATTCTACTGCTATGTATCTGTCTGTGTAATGGAGATATCAATAACGTTTGTCTTATTTCCTAAACTGTTATGCATTAATCTCTTGATTGCTCGCCTGTATTCTTGGTAGCCTAGCCCATATAGCACTGGATTTATAGCTGAATTACTAATGGATAGGAACATGGCCACATACCACCAAAACAACTTTGCCGTAATGTTTGCATAGTCAAGCAGTGTGATACAGATATTCAAAGACCATGAACAGATAAAGTAAAACACAATAAAGCATAAAAATATTGTCGTTTTTGTTTCCTTTTTCATGGATTTTGTCGAGCTTACATTTGACCCTGTTTCCATTGTGAGCATCTTCTTCGCTTGGGCTCGAGCTATTTGTAGAATTTTCAGATAAATACTTGCAGTTATAATACACAAGAGTGTAACGATGGTGAATATCGGCACCCCAAGTGTGCTAGGAATCACAAGGGTGAAGATGCACCTATCAGGGTGTTCGACCATGGCGCCATAGTACACAGGAAGGTAGGCTAAAACCAACACAGAAAACACACATAACGATGCAATCGTGATACACATTTTCTTAATCGTCATCCACTCAATGTAGAAAAATGGGTGCATTATCGCAATGTACCTTTCTACTGCTATGCAGGTCACGGTCAATGTTGATAGCATTAGAAACACACTTAACACAGTATAGGACAATGCACACCATTTATAGTCATCGGGTCCAAAACTGGCATATAAATGCAAAGGATTTCCTATAGACCCTGTAAGAAGATCCGCCAGGGATAATGTCCCTATAAGGTAGTGCGTAGGGGTGTGCAGACTCCTTGTCTTTACAATAACTAGAATTATCAGACCATTCCCCACTGTTGCTATGACAGATATCATTGTTGCCAAGGCGATTGAACCGTATTGTAATGAAGGTGGTGTTGTGATGTTACTTGTTATTCCAATGTCTCCTGATGACTCCATATTAATTGAACTTTCGACTCAACTTACATTTATCAAGTATTATGTTGTCATGTATAGCATTTTATGTTATATCTGGTAGTGGCAATGTTATTCAGTCCTCTGTTTTGACAATTTTCCGATTTTTCAAAGGATCTGTTATTTCATCAGTTAATCCAAATCCATATAATAGATTATCCAATTAGGAAGCATAGCAATAGTATCCACAAGCCTTCAAATAAGTATGGTAGAAGGTGCGACAATGTATTTTGTTAATTCTTCCAAATCAATGTTTCGTTTTTTCCGATTGTGAAATATCATATCAATAATGCTGTCAGCTCAGTCAAGCCTTCAAATATGTACGGCAGAGACTGCTATTTTGTTAATTGTTCAAAATCGATGTTTAGATTTTCCAATTGTGAAATAATCGTTACAATAATACTGTCGGCTTAGTCGAACTTAGGATGCTATTTTGCTTACTCCAAATCGATGTTTCGATTTTCCAACTATGAAGTACATCGTCTAACATGTATTATAACAATAGTACTGTCAGCTTACTCAAGTCTCAGAATATGTCGTCATTTTACTCCAGCTTTCATCACAATCACTTGTAACGTACTTTCCTGCTCTTGAAATGACAGCAACGGAGAGAAATCTATAATCGGCACAGAGAGTTGTCTGGGATTTCATTAATGCTTTTTATTATTACCTAATGCCTGGTAATGTTTTATTAATTGTTTCCATTCAACAAAGAATTTTACGATGTTGGAATATAAAATATTCCCAGTTCAAATTATAATAGGATGTGCTAACCAGAAACAATTACTGTAAAACTTTTTTCATAGTAAACATCTCTGAAACAATTACTGTAAACCACTCTGAACCAAATTAGTTAGAGTAAAAAATTTCCTCTAAAAACTCTTACTCTTTCATACAAGTCCTCTCTGAACAGCAAGTCAGCAAAGAGAGGGTCAGACAAACTAGAATGGTAGAAGTGCATGAGGATCAATGTCAATCCAATGATTAATAAGTCTGAAAGCATCAGTTTACTATTTACAGAGGTACACTATCTGTTAGCCTGACAAGAGCCACTATCTGGGCACCCTTGGTATTCAGGATATGAAGTACAAATTGAAGCAATGCATGACATGGGTAATAGTTGGAGTCTGTTGGACTTCATAATATTATAACGAGTGCTCTTCTCAGATTTTTTGTCTGGATAATTTTTTAATTCTAGAATTTGTAATTTTTATGAAAAATGTTATTATTTTAATTTCTTATTGTAAAATATTAGGAGGTGCATTAAATTGATGGAGGAGCATTATGGTGTCATAAGATACATGGAGGACGGAGGTGCTGCACCCCCCTTTAAAAATATGTTTGTGCCCTCTGTATACACATAAAATATTTGCATATGCATATTTTAACCAAAATAGGTAATAGAAATTAGCTGCTAGGTCTACTAGTGTTACACATATTTATTACTGTGTAAACATATTGATAAACAAATTATTCCTGAATTACCTGTGAATCTCTATAAATTGAATTGCCTGGTAACCGTTTGATGTGTAATTGGTATTTGTGTGATCAATTACACCACAATCATGTAATAAAACTCCACTTTACTAAAACTTGGTAACTCATGCAGCTATTAATGAGAGCACAAAAACAACTTCTAAATAATTTAGTAGTTTATCTAGGGTACTCTCATTCCCTCATAGAACTAATCGCTAAGGGACCCATCCTTCTTCAAAGGACTTCATTTATGCCTAAATTCATATATACTTGTAAAATACCCTTGCAGCAAGGATGTAAGGGACCATAATTCTTCACGTTTACCTCCAAGTTCTATTAAAAATGTGAAGTTTTAATAATAATGCAAAATTGCAAATTCATTTTAGGTACCAGTAAGCTCATTTTAATTGGCTAGGGTTAAGTTTCCCCGACTGTGACAAGATGTACTTCTCAATGTTCTGGATAGAGGGCTCATTGTTTTCTTAATTGCAGATTGAACTGTCTTATCATTTGTCTATCTTGTTTTTTCCTTTTGACAAATGTTGTATGATTTGCTGATGTAATGTGATGGTTATTCATGAAGATGAAATGAAAAATGAAAAAACTGAAAAACTGAATGACTTTCAATAACTGAATGTATGAACAACTTTGTAATCTGAACACCTCTCAATATAAACACTCTCAGTCCCATTGGTAAATCTCCCATTGAATCCTTGAAATGTGAACATCTGGTCCCAGTAGCATTCTGATTTGACAGGTTTAAATGTTGCCTAGATTCATGACAAGGAAGAAGAGTGAAAAACTGAATGAGATTCAATACTGCTATAAAGCAATAATATTAGAATATATAAGCGCAACTGCCAAAGGGAAGGGTGACTAAAGACTTTAAAGAAACCCAACAAGAAAGAAGAATAGAAGTATATACAAATAAAAATAAACTAGTAATATTAGATCATAGTACTGAATTGTCATTTTGAATTAATAATTAACATAAACTCTAGTCAGTGCTACTTTATCAATGGGCCAATTCAAATAGAACAAAGTAAAAGTACCAGCGCTATGTCAATATTAATAGAGACAGTTATTTGAATATTCACACAATCAGGTCACCACATAAATAAACCTGTAGCATAGTGTTTTTTGTTGTCAAACAGTAGATTCATTTTCTCTTTTAAATGTATAAAATAGATGATTTGTGGGGAATTCCTGTACAGTTTAGATCAAATATAACTCTATATGATTATAATTAACTCCCCAATGTCACCTTGTACTACACTTTTATCACATTGAATTCACCCTCTTCATACCTTTCATTAATATGGGTACAAAGTCTATACTGTAATGCACCTAGATTCAATACAGTAGCAGCTACAGTTAAGGAATGTTTCAAAGTAAAACAGAGATGAGGATTTCGATACTGCGAATTATCAAATTGTTTTTGCTCATTGCAGTTATGTTGCTGTTGATTCTGTTGAACTGGTTCACAAATGGACGGACTGAAAAAGAGCATGTCTTCTATAAAGTTACCTCGAGAAATAATCATCACACTTTGAATCCCTCGGAGGTGAAACCGATCATAAATCCTCATAAATTTATACAGAAATACCAAAGTACGAACTCAGGAAAAACAACAACAACAGTGCCATTGCAGATTAAGACCAAAGTTGTAACAAAGGAAACAAGCACAGGAACAATAGCACAAAGAAAATGGAGAGGATATCTACATAAACACAATCTACACAAATCTAATGCTTCTATGAACGACTTTCACAAGCAGGTTTTTATTCCTTTAGAGAACGAAACACTGTCAAATACTAATTGGATTAGCAGAATGAATGAAAAAGCGGACTTCTGCGATAGGAAGATAACATTTTATGGAAATAGTTTTGCAATGCTAAGGGGTGTTCTAATCAACAAAACCCTGGGGGAAATCCAGCATAGTGGTGATAAATTTGCTTCAGATAAATACAAATATAAACGTGGTTTCTTTACCGTGAATTCAACAGTGAACTTCTGGGGGACAGCAGGGGTCACCTACCCCTTCATAAAACACCCAGTTCATTATAGAAATCACCTTAATGAATGGAATAAAGTGATTATATCTCAGACACTCACTAACCCCAAATATGTCAGGAAAGAATTTTTTATCGCGATAACACGATATGAATACCTCAACATATGGCATGCAGCAACTGATATATACGGGGCATTTCTCCTCACAAAGTTTTTCAACAAGTCCCCAGAAACTGTGAATATTTTAATAGTGGATGATAGACCCCCTTGCTATATAGACCCTGTTTGGAAAGCACTGTTTAACAGTACTACATTTTATGCAGATTTACCTGATGGGACGTACTTCAAAAATTTGGCATGGAGCATGGTTGGATATAGTACACCAATGTCGTACCTCGATACACCAATCTTGCCATATTTCAATGACTTTCACAATTTCATGTTGAGGTTAACAAAATCAAATATCCACTTCTCTATCCAAAATACCACAACAAATTTGAATCATCAAAACATTCAAAATGCTCAAAACATTGCATCTATGATAGACAGTGTACGAAAATCAAACAAAACCAGAGATTTCAAAATGACAGACATTTGTGATGACATCACAATAGCAGTTTTATGGAGACATGAATTCAATCGCTCAATCAAAGATCTTGGTCCTCTGGAACGTAAAATTTCCAATGAAGAGGAGCTCATTCGTAAGATTCGTGTAAGATTTCAGGACTTTACTGTTGTGGACTTTGACCCTGGGGACTATACACCTCAGGACCAAGCTGCCCTATTTACTCAAGTTGATATTCTTATAGGGATGCATGGAGCAGGTATACAAATGTTTTTGCTGACCCCTTCAAAGGTGTACTGGGTAAATCATATACCTCTTCTCAGTATGCAAATCTAATATCAGTTCTCAACAATACAGGGGGTCATTAACAGAACTTTCGCAAAGTTACGAATTCGCAAGTCAATTGTTAATTTTACAAATTTGGTAAATGTGCATTAACAGAACTTTCGTAAAGTTACGAACGATTCGCAAAGTTACGAAAAAATGACGTCACATGTGCTTTCGTTCGTAACTTTAATAGCACCTCAGACCCTTTCATAACTTTGCGAATGGCATATTTCTCATCCAGTTCTTATGTAAGGGATACAGGTTGGCAAAAAGAAATTGTTCTTTATATGCATGCTAAGTTTCAAGCTAAAATATCCACCTATTCTCACATGATAAGCAAATATGTTCCTGAGCTGGGAATCTTTGAAATCGCGGAGACAGGTTTAATCACAGCGCGCAATGATATCAAATGACATCATATTTTTATTTGTGCTAAATAATGATATAAGATGACGTCACAATTTGAAATTCGTTTACGAACGATAAAACTTATGAATGACTTACGAAAGTGTTCTGTTAATGGCCAATTCGTAACTTTACGAATTCGTAAGTCATTCGTAACTTTTTAAATATTTACGAATTTCATAAAGTTACGAATAATGAATTCGTAACTTTGCGAAAGTTCTGTTAATGACCCCCAGGTTAACAAATGTTTACAAGGGAGGGTAACAATTTATCGAGTCAACATATACATCAAGTTCTGCCTCAAGTATATCTTGATGTAGACTTAATGTAGATGTAGATTGTATACCTCAACAGATTCAAGACCTCGATTTTTAGTAAATAAGGTATATCATTTGGCCAGTCCAACATCAAGCTTCCATATATATTTTCTTTATCTGTCAAAATAATAAGCTATTTATTCTTCTTGGGTTACATGGTAGATTGACAAGTGAGAATCGTAGACCTCTGATTGGCCTATGTATATCAGAAAAGTAGAATAAATCTTACTATGTCTCTAGCGACTTCATTAATAAAAATAATGTTCTACATTTTCTATTGTTAGTACCTCAGTGTAAATACTCGCATCTGATTGGTCAATTAGCGGTCAACATTTTTGCCTGTACCTCACTTGTGCATCATTGGATATCATATTATTGACCGCGTATGTTACTGTACTACACTTGTGAATTATGGGAAATATGACGTCACAATGTTTACAGAAAAAACATGGTAGTCGGACATTTTGTACACGTTGATGAAAGTGATATTTTGACTTTTCTACACGACGAGTATAGCAACAATACAAATAGAAACGCAAAATTAACATTAATTTACTAGTGAGTACGCAGTTATGTGCCGAAAACAGAGAGTTTAGCTTCCACTGTCTTCAGATTTTCTTAAATTATTGCTGGCGTGGTTCGTAGAAAAGATTGTGAAATGAAGCCATGATTGATGACTGTCGTATATATGAGTATTATTAGTTTCTTCTGACTAACAAAACAATTGTAGACCTCTCCATTCGGTCAACCGTCAAAATCATATACCTCGACTGTAAACCTTGAAACACTGTTGACCTCGACCTTCGGTCTCTGTCAACAGTAGTTTCTCGGTTTACAGTCTCGGTATACAATTTTGCCGGTTGACCTCTGGAGAGGTCAACAATTGTATATTGGCACATCTACTGTTAAACTTCATGGCTTTAATAGAATAACCAGTATTTTAAAATTTTTAATGTTCAATTTAAACTAGAAATCTATCAATTATTAACAACCACATTTTGCTTAATGTTTTTTAGGTCTGACAAATATACTCTACATGGCCCCCTTCTCTGGACTCATAGAACTATTCCCATTTGGGCAAAATGAGAATTATTTCCGGGCACTCACCAGATGGCGCCAGGTGTACTACATGCGCTGGATGAATATTAAGCCTGAACTAGAAAACACAAAGACACATTTCACACATGTTACGCCAGAGGAAATATTGCACTTAATTGATTTAATGAAAACAGATTTAAGAAAACATTGTTGATGAAAATAAAGTGTATTGATTCAACCAAAAGTTTACGTTTTTTCAACCCTAAGCACAACTACATTAGGGCTCGCCACTAGATTTTTCTTTATTTTTTTTCTCCAGTCTATTGCTATGACAACAACAGTTTCCATCCACTTTTATGACAGCAAACTCCAAAATGTTTCTATAAAACAAAGGCCATACTTTTTCTTTGCTAACAAGCTCCACCTCCACCAAAAACCGTAAATATTTTATCATCTGTTTCTATTTCTATGATAACAAACTCTGACCAAGACTGCTCCTTAGATATGACTATAGAGTTGCCTCTATGACAACACAATCCACCTATATCCATGACCATGAAGAACACTTACCTCAAAGACCATGAAGAATTTATCATCTGTTTCTATGACAACAAATTATACCTCCTACCTCCAAGACAATGAAAAATGTATTGTCTGTTTCTATGACAACAAACTACACTTACCTCCAAGACCATAAAGAATTTATCATCTGTTTCTATGACAACAAATTACACCTCCTACCTCCAAGACCATGAAAAATGTATTGTCTGTTACTACGACAACAAACAACACTTACCTCTAAGACCATGAAGATTTTATCATCTGTTTCTATGACAACAAATTACACCTCCTACCTCCAAGACCATGAAAAATGTATTGTCTGTTACTACGACAACAAACAACACTTACCTCTAAGACCATGAAGAATTTATCATCTGTTTCTATGACAACACATTACACCTCCTACCTCCAAGATAATGAAAAATGTATCGTCTGTTTCTATGACAACAAACTACACATACTTCCAAAACCATGAAGAATTTATCATCTGTTTCTATGACAACAAACTCAACCTAAATCCAAGACCATGAAGAATTTAACATTTGTTTCTATGACAACAAATAAACTACACCTACCTCTAAGACCATGAAGAATTTATCATCTGTTTCTACAACCTGGTAGAGTCTACAAATGTGCTGGTGGTTCATCTCCTTCATGGCATCAATCTCCACTTTCACTCGTGGGAGATCATCCTGAATGTGTCAAAAATATACAAGGAATTAACATGACACCACCAGGTAGGTTATTGCAAGTGCAAGTGGTTATACTGTAACAATTTGTTACAGATGCCAACCACCAGTGCTGACCACAAATGTTGTAACTTCAATCACCACTTGAAAAATAGTGGCTTTAACTAGCCACCTCCTGATGTGATTTAGTAGCCGATATGTAAGAGAATATTTTAAGTGACATCTAATGTAACAAAAGTACATGAATATTAAGTGTAATATAAAAATAGAATAAATGGCTACAAAATAAGGTGCCTATATAATAAGATAAAACAACTTCTTGATTTACCTAATTATAATTATTGAAAGTATTTAAATTCAGAATAAGAATCTTATCCACCCTTGGTATACGCAGCTAACAAAAATTGACCGGTACGGGTCAAAAGCTGGACCGGTACGGGTTAACGGTTTTATTTGAATTTAAAACAGCCATAACTTGCTCAATATTGACTTCCTCGTGTCTAATTTGAAATATATGATGCCTCCCGATGCTTTTAAGTACCCCAATTTTTTTACAGATTTTTAAACGGACCAAAACTCTCTAAATGCGCATTTATGCTCTTTTCTCTCGAGAACGACTGTCTCATTTTCACGATAACTTTTATTTAGTACTTCTAACATATAAGATCTATTTTTCCCCATCAAGGTATGATGTAAATGACATGCTATTTACATCTTGTGAGTTTCAACGACGTGTGTTTGATTTTATAAAAAATGCCAAACTTTGTGACAAAGAATTTCATCCTGCTTGCAGCGAGAAGACGGACAATCTGAGACAAGAAGAACAAGAAACTACCTCTTCAAACCTAATGAACAACGCAAGGCTAACGCCCATCATACCAGGTGCACTTCTCACACCAGAGATCTCACTATATATGAATAGGTACCAAACCTATCGCATATACTAATAATGTACACAAATACATTAAACTATTGACTCTACTAAGAACTAACGAATATTCCTACACTATAATACCCCAAACCACTAACTTGTATCTAAACTCCACGATACACCAAAACCCAATTCGGCATAACCTGCTACTCAATACATAACCTATCACAACCAACCATTACAACCAAGCACAACCCATAAGATCACCAACAACGCAACACAACCAATGTCTGAAGAATTAGAACGCAGCTGAACTCACAATTACCAAGAACACAACCCATTGTCAAATTAGCACTACACAATTTGGCACAACCACACAACAAAACCAAACTATCAAAACACAATCAGGAACAACCAAACTAAAACCTCAACATAGAAAGATCACACAACACAACCAAACACAACCAAATTAACTCACCCGACTAGGCACAACCGACCACCTATCTTAACATAATCAGGCACAACCCGCCACCACCCATCATTTAACGATCGGGCACAACCAACCACTCAACACAATCGGACTCAACCAGATACCTCACCTGACTGGGCACAACCTGCCCCCGACCAGCATAACAAAACCACAACATAACACAACGCATTTTAAAATTAACACAACACAATGAGACACAACTCGAAACCAAGCTAAAACAAAACAACCAGACACAACCCAACTACAAGCCAAAAACACAATACGACACAACCCAATACTACAACCTTATTTTAACCTCCGAAAACACAACCAATTGTCAAATATACGCAACACAATTTGGCACAACCAAATAATAAAACAACAAAACCAAAACACAACCCATTATTGACGAAGAACAACACAATTTTACACCAAACAATCAAACACAATCAGGCACAACCAAACTAGAATACCAAAACACCCAACCAACACTCTCTGAAAACAACACCAATCACGCAACACAATCTGACACAACCACATACTTCATCCTACTGGGCACAACCCGCTACCGACCAGCACAACACAATTACAACATAACACAACCACTTTGAAATTAACATAACACAACCCGCCACCACCCATCATTTAACGATCAGACACAACCAACCACACAACACAATCGGACTCAACCAGATACCTCACCCGACTGGGCGCAACCTGCCCCCCAACCAGCATAACACAATCACAACATAATACAACGCATTTTAAAATTAACATAACACAATGAGGCAAAACTCGAAACCAGGCTAAAACAAAACAACCAGACACAACCCAACTACAAGCCAACAACACAATACGGTACAACCCAATACTACAACCTTATTTTAACCTCCGGCAACACAACCAATTGTCAAATATACGCAACACAATTTGGCACAACCAAATAAAAAAAGAACAAAACCAAAACACAACCCATTATTGATGAAGAACAACACAATTTTACACTAAACAATCAAAACACAATCAAGCACAACCAAACTGGAATAACAAAACACCCAACCAACATTCTCTGAAAACAACACCAATCACGCAACACAATCTGACACAACCAGATACTTCATCCTACTGGGCACAACCCGCTACCCCACCAGCACAACACAATAATAACATAACACAACCACTTTGAAATTAACATAACTTAATGAGACACAACCCGATACCAAACTTACACAACACAATCAGGCCCAACCAGACAAACAACCACCAAAACACAATCGACTATCAAACTAACACAATGGAGCACAACCAAACAACAAACCAACACAAGACAACATAGCCAACGAGACCAAATTCAAATCAACCCATTGTTGAACCATCACAACACAACCTGACACCAACCACCGCAACGGAGTCAGTCACAACCCAATACTGAATCAATTAAACTACACTACTAAATACAATCAGGCAGAATCTGCAAACAAAACCAAACTAGAATACCAATTTACTTAGTACCCAACTAACTGTCTCCAACTGGAGACAATCCCAAAACAAAACCAAATCGGGGACAACCCATCCCCCCTCCCCCTCCCCCTCATTAGGCTGCTGATGAAGAACATATCATGGACCACCAACCATGAGTTCGAAACATCTTGGGCCCTTACTGTGACTCACAAGTAAGGGAGAAGATCCACTACTGGATCGGGATGTCCGGCCTTTCTCTACAAAAATGACAATAGGAGTGACACCACCAATGTCATTATCCTAGGATCAACTAAATATACTCTACCTGTCACATAATCACTGACGGTGGTTCGGGGAAGCTTAGACACTAGACTATGTCTCCCAGGTCCCCTAAACGAGACCACTCACCATTTGACACAGATTGCATGACTTATGCGTGTTCACAACGGGTGATGTCTCAAGACATGGTCTAAGTCACCACTCCCAAAAATATGTTCGGAGCAATAGAACCGGTCCGTCTTCTCGCTGCAAGCAGGATGAAATTCTTTGTCACAAAGTTTGGCATTTTTTATAAAATCAAACGCGCGTCATTAAAACTCACAAGATGTAAATAGCATGTCATTTACATCATACCTTGATGGGGAAAAATAGATCTTATATGTTAGAAGTACTTAAAGCAGATATGAAATGGTATTTTTAACCTAAAGGAATCAATATAATTTTTTGATAGATGTATTTGGACATGTTTTCTCATCAGTAGTATGAAAACTATTTCACTCTAACGATCGTTATAGCTGCTTAATAAGCAATATTCGAATTGGTTGTGATGTTATTGGCCCCCACGTGATCTCTCACTGGTCCCCACGTGGCCCGTTTTGGTCCATTAGATCATGACGTCATAATGCCAAAATGTTTTGTTATTTGTTTACACGACAATCCTATGGTTGCCGTGACGTTGTGATTACTATGGAACCAATAAACCAAAGCTATATTTTGTATATGACGTTACTAATCACGTGGGGGCCAATTTGATTTATCAGTTAGTTTTATTTCGTTATCTATGGCCGTTAGCAGTTATCTAACATTTATTTTATAATGGCTATTGCAAGAACTCTACGGTGGGCTTACAATGGAGAAAACCGCATTTTTGTAGCTGCAAGTTGAGAAAAGCTATTTCAGTTGTCCTTTAATAAAAGTTATCGTGAAAATGAGACAGTCGTTCTCGAGAGAAAAGAGCATAAATGCGCAATTAGAGAGTTTTGATCCGTTTAAAAATCTATAAAAAATTGGGGTACTTAAAAGCATCGGGAGGCATCATATATTTCAAATTAGACACGAGGAAGTCAATATTGAGCAAGTTATGGCTGTTTTAAATTCAAATAAAACCGTTAACCCGTACCGGTCCAGCTTTTGACCCGTACCGGTCAATTTTCGTTAGCTGCCTATACCAAGGGTGTTATCTGTACATTTTGATAGCCTCAGTTTCAAACAAGATCAAATTAATTCTCATTTCATATACAGCTGACTTACCCCTAATGACTTTTTGTCCATGATTTTGATTGCCACTTTATCCCCTGTGAGCCCATGGTAGGCCAGCTTCACCTTGGCAAACCCACCTAAAATATTTACATTTTCCTTATCATTGTTTTACAGGAGCCAAAACTATAATTAGGGGTTTCATTGAAATTTATACAACAGGAAGCAAGTGGCGCAGTTATTTTATTTTTTCACGTCATGGAAACAGTAGCAATATTTCTCAAAAATGAGTGTTTGGTAATGACTGGAAAAATCACATGTTGCCTACTGCTAGTAAAAAAAAACAGGAACTATTTTGAATTATACAGTCCATGTTAACTCATTCGCTACTAAGGACGTGATATGACGTCATAAAGCACATACGTTGACTACTAAGGACGTGATATCAAGTCCAAGCACAAACCCAATGTATTTTTGGGGGAATCTTGTAACCATGACAACTTATAAAATGGGACTTAAAAAACTATTCATTCTGAACGAGTATGTCATATGCTTTAAAATGCTATATAACACTATATATGTATGCCCATGTATATACAATATATATTATTTCAGAGGTACCATATATGACAATTTTGAAAATATCGTCAGTATTATAGTGCTTTTTGCCCCAGTATTGAATGAGTTAATCCTGGATTGAAATTCAAATTAACATCAATGGTTAAAACAAAAGGAAAAAGCAGGATTTGCAATTTGCGATAAATGGTGACTTACCAGAACCTATTGTTTCCCTTAGGTGGTACTGTCCGCGGATTGCTTCGTAAGCCGACATTTTCTGTAAACAAAAATCAATATTTCTATGAGTTTTATTTTTAGCAAGTGAATTTTGAACCATGTATTCTACTTTAAATCAGTGTGCTTTTTGAGATTTCTATGTCACATAATGTTCTGTAATTCCTGCTTAATACTTTGGTACATAATATTCCTTCAGTATTACTTATAATTGATACAGTAGAAGTCTATTTATCGAAACTGGTAAGCATTTTATACTTTTATAACCATGGTTGCATCACAAGTCAAACTGTAAATCTTGGATAATTTTGATGAAAATAACAGCTTTATAACTATTTTTGTAAGTTAAAGTCTGTCACTGCTCCTCAACTCTCTCACTCTGATAGTCAATTAAATGTAACAGAATCTAATTCCTTAGTTCTTATATCTAGCCAATGTGATTTATTTAGCCAATTGTGATTTGTTTACTAAAGGATTATATTCATTCAATATTCCCATAAAGGTGAGGTTGTTTATATTGGTTGTTGAAACATGGGATGACCAACTAACTGTTAATTGGAAGTGGCTTCTAAAGTAAATGTGTCAAAACCAATCATTCACCCATGGAGGCCATAAATACATCTGGATTAATACAGCTCCCTTTTGAACTTCTACGAATAATTCTAAATTATATTCTGTGATCAATTCAAAACATATCTTTGCCTCTCTATTAGAGACAAGAGAGATGTTGACAAGGCCATCTCTAAAATTTGAGATTATATTGTCAAAACATTTGTGATCTATGGAAAATGAATGTACACTGTATTGTAAGAATCAACTGAGGTTAGAAATAAGTATACACCTTTTAGTGCTGAAAATTATCCACTCTCGAAAAAAATGCTGAATCAAGACTCCTTACGACCAAATTTCAGAAATTGGTGTGCACATCAAATAAGCTCAGCACCTACATTTATAACTAAAGCTCCTAAAGTGGAAAAATGATAAATTTACACCAAAATTAGAAAAATGGAGTTGTACCAAAATGCACCAAAAGGATGGCGAGAACACTCCATAAGGATTCACTAGCCAAAACAACACAGCCCGTGATCTTGTGTGGGAATCCGTTTATTTATAAGTGAATGTGAGTTTATGATTGAACGCAAAGTACAGGGAGTAAGTCAACCTCCCCTCTTTCGAGACCCTATTTGTTGCAAGACTTATGCCTGACACAACCGTCACCATGTTATTAAGTGTTTTTAAGTTTCGCATGACCATGACCTTGGTAGTGTTATCGTAATAGCCTGATATAACTGTGACAATGCCATATTATATTGCATGGCCGACCATGGTAATGTTAAAGTCTGTAATGACCGTACCGATGCTATCACAGGCAATGGAACATAGAAATAATTCCCCCCCCCACTCTCTGACAATGGTTGCAAGGGCTGTCATGACAAAGCTATCTCCTAAGAGATATCTATCTAAAGATGGCTATGTGCAAATATAGTAATGATAGACTAGACTAGATTCTACAGTTGACGAGTGTTGTCGCGATGTGCCATAATCGTACATCGATGCATCGGCAATTTTCAGTAGGAAACATCGATGCACATCGCGATGTACATCGGGAAAAAGTCCGAGTAAAGTGCACTGAAATACCGAACGCAATGCACTAAAATACCAAACAGAACAAATTAATAAGAGTACACTGGTACATCCGGGAACTTCTAGTAACGGTGAAATGAAAGTAAAGTATTTTTTTAGATTAATGGTTCATTTCGACTAGCTAAAACAGTTTAAAAGCGAAAGAATATCAGATAACATTAGAAAATGAAATAAGACATGAGAAAGGTAAGCGATTTGCGTCAAAATAAGATAAGAAAGGGTGATTTTAAGCAAATTAAATTTTTTTAAAAACATCGATGTTTTGTTTCAGACATCGATGCATCGCCAGAATCAGCTTTGGCGATGTATATCGCGATGTATCGATTAATTGCGACAACACTACAGTTGACATCAACCTGGAGGAACAGCGACGACCTGTAAAGGCTTGAACATGACCATTTCTTCTTCAGAGAATAAATACTCTTAAAAAGACACATTAGATTTCAAGGAAGACGATGTTATCATGTGGATCGAAACACAGATCCGGAGCCAGATCCAGCCCCTGTTGGTAATAGGCTCAAAGGATAAATGGGAAGATGAGACACGAGCCAAAAATGGCACATCAAAAAAATGACCACCCAAAAATACGACCCTCGTACTGACCTTTATTTTTTCCATCTGTCAGACATTGATTGATCAATATTTACCCTGTAATCTCTTCTTTATGTATTAGTTTGAATGGTTGCATGATATCCATTATTGACGCTGTAATTCAACTTTTCCCGGGACATTTATTTCAAATTTTCAGAGCGTAAAGATAATGGAGCACTTCGGTAATTTCCGGCAGTGTCCGATGTTGTTCGTCTCTCAAATTACGTCACATCACAACAAACAGCCAATGAAAGTAAAGAATCGCGTAGCCTAATAAACCGTCGTTATTGTTTCTACGGGAGTTTAAAGAAACGTCATGGGACTTCTCGGTAATCTCTGATGTGACGTCATCCGGAGTGGCGTCACATTCTCAGAAAAGGCATTTGACTTCGGGAATAATCATTTGAACAACGGAGATAGCCGAAGTGCTCCATTAAATATACGCTCGCTTATTTTATGCTTTTATCAACAGACGCTTCCTTGGATGTTTGGCTTTAGTGATTGGAGTTAAAGCTAACAACAGTACGCATCGTTTGAGGTATGACATGTGATATTTATTGATAAACTGACTCCAAAATCAAGGAAAAATAAATTTTCCGAAGATCTCGTGTCTTGTCCTTGAGTATATTTATTGAGCCTAGACACAGAGGAGCTTATCTGGCAGAGGTCCGTGGATTGAAAGGTCCGAGAAAATCTTTCGAATTCGAAAAACACTGAAGTGAAAAAAAACAAAATCAATGAAAAATAAAAGTGTACAGTTCGAAATTACAAAGCAGTTAGCCATTACTTACCACTAAAATTGCTTCTGTAGAAGGCTCATATACGTCCTCATCTGACGGTTTTTAAAATAACACCTCCAATCTTGAGTTTTCACTAAAATTCAAATATTACAACACTTAAAATTATTCCCTCTTTCTAAAATTTCGAAAATGGCCACTTTTTAGTTCAACCAATCAAATCAGAGTATCTTGCCAAATACAACAGGCGCAACGTTCTTGCGCAAAGAATTGCCGGGGATTGTGTTTTAGATGCCCGGATATTGAACATGAAATTGATTGTGACACGGGTTGAGCCACGGACCTCTGCCAGATAAGCTCCTCTGTGTCTAGGCTCAATAAATATACTCCATTTATCCTTTGAGCCTATTACCAACAGGGGCTGGATCTGGCTCCGGATCTGTGGGTTGAGCTACAGCAATGTTGCAACTTAAAGGAACTTTATTTTTAGATTGTTAATATACTAGATTAATTTGCCGCGGTTTTACTGATTTGACCTCCTATAAAGAGTCAAGAGGGTTTGTCGTTCAAGTTTCCGGTAACTCAGTGCAGCAGTCTTGGCACCCGGGCTTGGCACCGTGTCAGCAGGTGGTTGTTTTTCTAGGATGAAGAAAATACGGCCTGCAGCTGTTGTAGGCCTACACATGTACATATTATCTATTATACATCAACATGTATTGTGTCACGTTTCTTAAAAAGTAATGAAGTCCGGTCCTATCTCGAGTAAAATTATCATGATCATGATGATTGACCAAGGACGTCTAGGCTAGGATGAAGAAGTCTGGGGCGGCATTATATCTCGCTGCTATTTTGACAAAATTGGCCTTGTTTAGTTGCCCCGTGTTACCCTAGTCTACTTAACCATGTTTACGATGACTTTTCAAAATCGCCGCCAAATCGGTTACACAGCCTGTATTACAGGCCATTGGCCAGAATAATTTACGAAGTAGCCTAAAACGATCGTCCCGTTTTGCCAAAGTCTCTATTTTAAGATGATCCGGGTTGTCACGGTAAAAAACGGGTGACCGGGTAGCCGGGTAACCGGGTACCTAACGTTCCTAGCAGGGTTACCAACTTTCAAAGTTTCACATTTTCCCAGATATATAGTAGCGAATTGACTTGACAGACTTAGCCTACTGAGTGCACTACTGTTCGATATTTTTTACCCTATAAGAGACAGAGTACTTTTTAAAATAATCGATCCAGCAAATGACGTCCATGTCACGTTGCTCATAAGTTGCATATAAGTTCCTTGAAGACGTTATATTTTCGTTCTTTAAACGTCGAGGCAACGTGAACATGAGACATGGTAACGTGTTCGTAAGGTTCGTTAGTGTGGAAAACATAACAGGAATGTTTGATTTTTACCACATCGGTCCATATTCAAATTTTCTCTCTACAGTCCTTGCTGCCCCTTTAATATCAAAATATTTGTTGAAGGAAAAAACGTTATAAAAACGTTGTGTTCTCACTAAGTCGATTCGTTTCCGACGTATTGTTAACGTTAAAATTTAACGTCAAATCCAGAAATTACCGGTCACTTTCTTTATCAGGAGAGCTGTCAACACATCTGATAAGAAGTGTTCTAAGCAGCTCAAGTGAAACTTGATGCTATGTTTTGGTCTAATACAAGATGCAGCCTACTTGTAAATAAAATACAGTTATCCATGTGCGTAATATATGGTTCAACAAAAAACAACAACTAAATACAAATTATGTGGTATATGCCATGTTTATGTGTCTGCGATCATATAATCTTGAAATTATCCATCAATTTCTTAAGAAATTGGCGAAATTAAGGAAACCAGAAAACACATTTGATGAAAGGGCGGTGCTTATAGGCTGTATGAAATGCCCCTGCATTAACGCTCACACATATGAGTTTTAAACATTAATTTAGTAGACTAAAGTGTTGATACAAAATGGGTTTACGTAAAAGACCGACCCCACCGACCACCGACCGGTCGGTGTTTTCCACTGGTAGCCTCAAAACAGGGTTTGAAGAAAATGTGTAAAAGATCGACCATATCATGTAAAAGACCGAACGAACATATTTGTAGCCTTAGAATATTAATAATTTGATTTTGAATGTCAATCGTTGGACTAGGCAACGTTTTTTACCGTTTTTGTACCTAACAACGAATGGCAAGCAAACAAATTGGTCATCATGACCGTCTCCTCTCGATTAATTGTCCTGCCTTAGGTCCTAACCTATCATTAACCAACCTATCGTTTCTACGGGAATCTATCCTAATTTTTTACTGAAATTTAACAATTTTGAAACAAAAATGATTTGTTATCGTCATAGCCTACTAGACAGGTTCCAATTTCAGAATATCTCAAGGGAAAGGGTTTTTGAGGCATTTTTTAGAAAAAGCAACAGAGCTATTTTTTCTGGATCAGTTTTTCATGCTGATAAAGATATTAAAAGATGACAGCTCAACGGGGTGGTCACGACACTGAATTTTAGCGTTTTTACCCCCCTAGGGAATTATTTTAGGGGGTACTATAATATTAGTTCATAACTCAAAGGATATATAAACTATTGTTCTGAGTTCTACAGCATACATTGTTAGTACAAAGATGAATACTACCCTAAAGTTATAGGTTGTTATCTTTTTTGGTTTCGGAAAAATACAATTAATTAGAAAAAAATATGCAATTTTTGTCATTTTTTTCTTGCTTATTTTATATTTGTAGCTTCAAGCAAATTATGATAACTTAAACAGCTCAAAGTAGTATTCTAACAACATTCCCAAGCTATGTGTGATATTGTAATACATCTATTATAGTGATGAAGTACTATTTTGTAATTTTAATATGACTTTATAGTGCCCTACCCCTGGTAAATAGAAAAAAGTTGGTGTGGTTTTCTTCTGGTTTTAACATTTTATTGTCTTCTTAGTTGAAGATACAATCAATTCTGTCAGTTAACCATGAGAAGCTTTACAATAGTTTACTATTCCCATGAATAGAGGGTTGGGACCTCAAAAATACCAGAACTGTTAAGTGGCATCCTTGGGCAACCCTCTTCAGAGCATTTTCCTTATATCATCCGATAAAATCTGCAGGGGACACTATAAGAAACCTATATATCTAAGATACTAGTAATGAAGATACTGAATTCAAATTTTCAGGATTTGGTCCTGGTATGATAGGTAATCTGTATGACAAAAATGACAAAAAGAAAAAACTCTGTTGCCATAGTAACAAGAATACGACACTTGTTTCCTAAGAAATGTGTTTTAAGAGGTTTTGTCATTCTCTTCATATTTTTAATTCTAAATATGTCTACAATGTGGGATGATTAAAATTATGGTAAAGTAATCTTTTCTATTGTTCTATTGTTCTCTAAAACAGAAGTTGCTACGCTCTATTTGTCAGGAAATTAAAATGGAAGCTGAAAAATGAGTTTCTTCCTACTGAATAGCAATTTGGTAGACCAAGGCTGACACGCACAGGAGAAAACGTCTATCAGTTCTATGTCATTTTGTTGTTATTTTTTTTATTTATCGTGCTCTTGGACTTATAACACCTAATGCCGAATCTTTTCCAACTGCAAAGGAAGGCAAGATTTTAATGATGAACATTCATATATCTCAAATATCTCAACAAAGATTTGGACAATGATGATGAAACTCTAAGGGAAAATTAGACGAAACATTAATGTGAGTGGTCCAAAAATAACACTTACATGTTTTGAAAAAGTTATGCTCTCGGGTGAATCAGTGCTCATTTAAGGATAGTCTGATTTAGGTGAATTTTTTAACCTAATTGTACCCCTCCCCCAAACCCCCAAATTTTGACAATTGTCGAAAAGTGGCAAACAACAATTAAACAAACATCATTAAAGTTCAATATGGCTATTTCGCTTCTCTGTCATAAAGATATGGTAAGATCTCAGGTCAATCAATAAATTTCACAAGTGACACTCTATCTTATGAAGAAAATATTATCGTATTTGAAAACATGTCCAAAATTTGGTTGAAATAATTTTGTCACTCCTGATTTGACCTGGAAAGGTTCAGGTAAGTTATCACAAACAATTTGAGACAGTTATATTTTTGATTATGACTATTTTCTGACCATGAAGACAGGTATACAGGGATAATGAAGTCAATCGGACTCGGAGATATTTCACTAGCAATCAACCCATCAATATATTTTTTCAAAGTTGTTGACCTCATTTTCACCAAAAATGCAATCATTTTAACAATGTTTAATGCATTACTATTCTTTATTTTAATGTATCAAATAGCTCTTGAAAAGAAAACTGAATTCCCCTTAGAATAGTGTTCCCCATGTCATTTCCCCTTTGAAAAAATTCATGCTATCCATTGATTTCAGTTCATTTTGGTCATCCAAATTCAGTGTCTTTAAAGTCCCTGGAGCAATCCACTTTTCCTCTTAGGAAATAGAACATGTCTCAAAGCATATTCTAATTATGCATTCAACAATATAATTAAAGGTTGCATCTTTAGTAAAAATTAGGTCAACATTTTTAGTAAAAAGTATGTTGATTGGGCCATTCCCTTTAATATCACTTAGGTCTGATTAATCATTATATTTACTTTTCTTGAAGATAATGAATAGATCTAAAAGATTGTCCCATGTTCATGGTCAGAAAATATTCATAATTCAAGTTAGAATTGTCTGAAGTTGTTTGCGATAACCTACATGCTCCTTTATAACATTATTATGTAAATACCTGTGTAAGTGGAACACTCTCCGTTCTGCGTTCCACTTAGAAGATGTTCCACTTACAGAGGTTTTGGGTTCACAGGGAACATACAAAATCAAATATAGGATTATATGTATCATTGGAAATATGATTCTCCCTTCATTACAGGGCAGGTATATACCATTAATAATCCATTTATTTAACTCAAAAAGGTATCTGACATTCTTAATCCTCCTCATTCTGCCAAAAATGTTTTCTGATATTCTTAATCCTCCTAATTGTGCCAGTCTCAGGTACAAGGATTAGGCAATTAAGTTTTAAAGACTTGTTCCTACTGTTAATAATTCAATTGTTCTTAAATGACATTTTTAATCT